ATAAATAAGTCATAGGGGAAAAAGGAGGCTTAGCAGCTGAGGGAGGGGGCAAGAGAGCCATTAGTCCTGTGCCTGGCTATCCATCCTGTGCCCATTTCGCAATACTTGTTCCTTGGTGGTACCCTGGGCACGGAAGACACGGAACGCTCCACGGCAGATGAGGCCAAACCAGTATATCTGGGGAGCCATGAGGATGGCCGATCCCAAGTTGTACTCAGCAGGGATGGAGAAGGGTACACGGTAGAAGGGCAAGCCAGCATACTGCCCATATACCCAGTACATATATGGAAAGAGCAGGATTCGGCAGAAGAAGAATGTGACTAGCATGGCCATGCCATTCACCTTGTGGAGAAGGGTGTGCTGCTGCTTGTACTGCAGAGAGAGGGGAAAAAAGAGGGTTGAAAGGCAAATGCAGGTCAGGTTGGCTAACTCTTCCACCTTTCCATTATGTCTTTATTTACCATGTTTCCACCGAAAATAAGACAGGATCTTATTTTCTTTTACCCCCAGAAAAAGTGCTTGGCCTTATTTTCAGAGAGGTCTTATTATTTTTGAGGTGCAGGAGTTGGTGAGCATGGTCACCTCATGGATGCTGCTGTGTTGCAATATTTTCGGGGGAGGGCTTATTTTCAAGGAAACAGAGTAGTTATATATGGTCTCCCATATTACCCTACCAACTCTTGGCATCTAATCAATTAAAACACCATCTAAAATGTCCACAAACCAAACAATCAATATATAAAACTTATACAGGTAGCCTTTGACTTATGACCACAATTGGGATCAGGATTTCTGTTGCTAAGCAAGGGGGTTGTTAAGTGAGTCACACCTCATTTTGCAACCTTTTTTTCCATGATTGTTAAAAAAATCACTGCGGTTGTTAAGTGAATGACACAGTCATTAAGGGAATCCGTTTCCCCCCACTATCTTCATGTAACTGGAAGCCAGCTGGGAAGGTTGCGAATGGCGATCACACAACTCCAGGACACTGCAACTATCGTAAATACATGCCAGTTGCCAAGAGCCCGAATTATGATCATGTGACTGTGGGGATGATGCAATGATTGTAAGTCATTTTCTCAGCACCGTTATAACTTTGAATGGTCTCTAAGTCAATGTAAGTAGTCCTCGACCTACAACAGTTCATCTGGTGAGCAAATGTGGGCGGGTGAGCTCTCCCTCTTCGCTCGCATGCACCACATCCATGCATACCCTTGGTTTTCCATGCATGCGCTTTGGTTGTGCACATGGCTTGCACGCATGTGCGTGGCTTGAAAACGTACCTAAATAGGACAGCATAGAGTGTGGGCAGGCCCACCCGCGATTTCCACTACCGGTTCGAGTGAACCGGTCTGAACCGGCTGAATACCAACTCTGGATTCAAAGTTACAACATCACTGAAAAAACTGACTTATGACCATTTTTCACACTTCAGACCTTTCCAGCATCCCCATGGTCACGTGATTTACATTTGAGTGCTAGACAACTGACCCACATTTATGACGGTTGCAGTGTCCCGGGGTCATGTGATCCCATTTTTGCAACCTTCTGACAAGCAGAGTCAAGGCGGAAGCCAGATTCACTTAACAACCATGTTACTAAGTTAGCAACTGCAGTGATTCGTTTAACAAATGTAGCAAGAAAAGCCGTAAAATGGGGCAAAGCTCACTTAACAAATTTCTTACTTAGCCACACAAAATTTGGGGCTCAAATGTGATGTAAGTTGAGGACGACCTCTGGTTATTAGTCGAGGGCTACCTACTTGTAATGCACACCAAGCTAAAAACCAATCCAAACCTTTCTGTTCCCCTAAAAGAAGCTCAGCCGCAGGTGATACTCACCAGGATGAGAACCTTCCCAAGGCAGACAAAAGGGGTGCTGAGTTCAGCCATCAACATACAACCCAGAAAGAAGTCACCTTTGCCTTGACGCCACAGCTGAAGGGGGGAAAGGGATAAGCATGACAGACCTGGGCAGGTGGGGCAGTATCTTCTAAAGCACAGCATCCTCATTTGCAGGTTCTTCTGCTGCATGGATCAATAGCTCATCCCTTCCCTTCCTATCCTCATCTGTGCACATGGGTCACCTGTCCCCACCCCCCACCCCTCCAGTCCCACTCACCACAGACACAGGGAAGCAAACCAACACCATGAAAAGATGGTGAATCACCATCAGTGATTCCTTGTGCAAGTAGGCACGGA